CTGGGGTGGGGGACCTGGGTTGGGCGTGCTGTCCAGACGATGTGAATGGGGAACTCCAAGGCTCTTGAGGGTTCTCTGTCATTCAGGAGGCCCTTCGAACAGGGGGTGCTCCCGTACCTAGTGCCACTTCTGGTGGAGCCGGCCACACACCAACCCAAAGAATGCAACTCAAAGACCCTACAAATAAAGACACCCTACTGAAGCCTCTTCAGTTCCCCTAGAGGACTCGCCCAGGCCCTGCAAGGAGGACAGCACTGGGAGAGGCCACCCAAGCACACATCTACCTGCCTCGGTACAACTTATTTCTGACACACCCCAGAGGAATTTATGGTCTTCATGGAGGCTGCAGGATGGGCTGGGGAGGAGAGCGCTAGGAAAATATGACTGCCCCATTAGTCTGCCCTGAAGCCTGGTAATGGAAAGCAGGCATCTAATAAAAGCAGCATGGTGTAGTACTGGGGAAACAGAGAGAAAGAGCAAAGAATGACAATCACGCACCACACACATCCTGAAACGGGAAACGTGTGTTTGGGCAGGGCTTGCTGCCTGTGTGTTATTGTGAGGCATTCTGGATCGGGGTGAAGGGCAGATTTGGGGGCGGTGTCCCAAGGGGATAACACCCAGGCTGGGGGGGGGTGTCTAGGGGAGGATTGCTCCAACTGGGGGGAGAGTCTGCCCGCTCCCCCGAATGTGTGTGTGCTTCTTTGGGGAGTTGCTGGCTAATAATGAGAACACACCGAGTCCGTATTCAGTTGCCCCTCTTCAGGCCTTCCCAGGTGCCCAGGGCGACGCAGCGTGAAGCTTCCCAGAGGCCTTCGATCCACCGTGAAGAGAGGCAAGAAGAAGGGGGAAGCGGGAGGCCTGGATCGCAGGCGAGAGAAGGCGATTCCGCCAGTGTTGCATGTTTATACTTCCACTTGAGCATCTTCGAAGAGTTAAGGAAGAGGGTGGGAAAGCGTCCCCAGGACCTTGCCTCCCTCCTGCTGGGACTGCCCAGAAAAGTTGCTTTTCCTCCACCACCGTTGTCTTTTTTTTAATGGAGCAAGCACAGGACTATACATTTCCCAGGTTTTATTAATTTCCCAGGTTTTATTTTGCTGCTTCTATTCAGGAGGAGCTCCTTAAATGATACTCTTCATCCACTGCTGAGCCCTGTATCCAGGGACTGACTTTGCATCAGATCATGTCCCCTTTCTTTCTAGTCTATCTTAATCTAAAGGTCTACAAACTTTACACACACGCGCGTGCAAACTGATATTTCCAGAACGTTGAACTGTTCGATCCCAAGCCAAGTGGCTCTGCAGGCCACTGAATCAGTTTGAAAAGTTTGGCATGATGTGAGTAAACACCACGGCCTCACACACACACACACACACACACACCATCGCCACCCAAAGCTTTTCTCTGAACGTTCTTTCACACGCTCTCTCTAAAGTCTCCTGCGCATCCAAGAGAGCCTCGGCTGTGGGGCAGCACTGAATAAATAATGATAAATAAATAATGATAAAATAAATCATCAGGGAAGTTCCCCGTGCTTCCTCGGTCCACAGGAAAGACCCTGGCAGCGAGATCCTTCTCTGTGCAAGGTCAGATGCGAAAGCTTTGACCAATAGCATCATGGTCCGTTCAGCAAGTCGCACACGGGTAAATTTGGGGCAGTTAAGCATTGACTGTAAGTAAAAGGCATGTGTTGGGAGGAGATTCCTGATCGTCCTCTGGTCCTACAAAGGGCTGTCCACTGCCCCCTTCTCCGCCACCTCCCTGACACACAAAAGTCGCTTTGTGTGTCCTTACGAGGGGTGACCTGGAGGACTCACCCAGCCCAGCGCCTTGAAACAGCAGAGGTTTCGAAATCACAAGCCTAAGCGGAACATCAGGGCATGAGGAGTCTCGCTGCATCTCACCATCGCAGATGCCACCCAAAGCAAAGACAGAAAGCCCTTCTCCCAGGAGCTGCCTGAAGAGCCGCAGACGAAGGGAACGGTGCCCCCGCTCTGCACTGCCGCCCACCCCCAAGCTGACAGCCCCAGGGCCGATCCTTTGACTCAAATCGAGCAGGACTTAAAAGCATTACATTAGACATTTCTGGAGCCGCGGGTGCCAAGGCAGCCTCCTGCCTGGAAGATTCCCTTCCGCGTCGGAGGCCGGCTGCGGAAAGAGCGCTTCCGAACCTTCGCTCGGCTCTTCAGAGCCTGACACTTCTCTCTACTCACCGGAGTCGGAAGTGATGGCATTGCATAGCCGTACTCCCACTGGCGCTGGGGCCCTTGATGCCTTCCCTGGACTTCCTCTGACACGGGAGCCGAGTGCTGCGAAGAGAGCCGTGACGTCGCCACAGCCCTCTCTCAGCTGGGAAGGCTCAAGTTCCGAGCCGGGATTCCCTTCCCACACGCCTTAACCCTATTCCTGCTGGAAGCAGCCAAGAACACCCTCTGCGCGTCCGTCCGCACAGGCCGAGCCGAGGGGAAGACGGCGCGGCTCCGGGGGGAGAAGGCGGCAGCTCTGCGTGCGGTTCGGGAAGGGCCTTCGGCCACCGGGGAGAGTCCCGGGAGCGATTCTGCCCCGTTCTTCTGCATTTGTGGCCCCAGGTGGAGGAATCTCTGCAGAGCCTCCTGCAAGAGATTTTGCTGAGCTGAGAATCAGTGTGGAGGAACGGTTAAACAGCCTCCCCCAGCTGGCACCCTCCCTATACACTGGGCTACAGTGCTCGTCACCCCCAACTGGCACGGCCAACAGCCATGGGCTGTGCAGTCACATGCATCCAAAGGGCTCAGGCTGGGGAAGGGCTCGTGGGCTGCTTTCCTTGTAGAAAAGCAACACTTCTGATTGCTTATTTAAAAAATGGGACAGAAAACGTCATAGTTTGGCACGGGGAATGGTCAGCAGAAGGACACAGAGGTTGGAAATGGGCAAATTTCGCTTATCCCACCCCAATTTTTGGAGACGTTTTTGGAGGCGGGTCTGGGGTGGGCTGCCTGAGGTTGTCCATCCTTGAGCTACCCTATGGGGTGAGGACCGAGGAGGCCCAGAGCCACGTTTTCAGTCAACTGTGACGCTCGCTGCCTGCTTTGCTCCAGATGCGCACACTCTCGTGGCTACCTCGCAGGGATGTTGTGAGGATACAAAGTGGGGGACAGAGAGGCATGTTCTCCACCTTCAGCTTCTTGCAGAAAGGGAAGAATGCAAGTGCAAAACATTAAAATGAAACACTGCCACTTCCTCTGTGTAGCTTCTATCATGGCAGGGAAGGAGAAGAGGAGGGTTCACCTTTGCTTCCGACAGAGACCTCCTTGTAGGGCATCACTCCACTGGATCCTGACGTTCCAGACACCCTCGGTTCCATCTTGCCCTGAAGTCGTGCAACCGCATGGCGGGTATAGATCATTAGTTTGCCTGTCTGCTTGAAGCAGAAACTTTTCCTTCCAAGTAGCTTCTCCACCTCGGGAAAGATATGCAAAGGTTTAATTTACACATTGGAATCTGGTTGCAAGATCTGGCTTTTCCCTGGCATGTGACATGGAATTGCTAAAGCCTGCCATTTTACAGAGGAATCCCAGAGATAAATGAGGAAGTTCGAGCCCAGTCAGGACCTCTGGAAAATTTGGCAGGCCAAACCTCTTCATCTTCTTTCCCCTAGATTAGGGCTTCTCTCAATCTGTCAAGTTTGCTCAGCCAGGCTGGCTTCTATTAAATCCGTCCTTCATACAGTCTCAAAAATAATATGGGGAAGAAAATATACCGCAACAGAACTGTCAGGCCCCAGAACACATCTCAGCCTCTGTCAAATAAATTTCCCCCCATTGCAATTTCTCATGCATATCTGCAGCTGAGAGCAAAGAGTTCTTTTCAAAAGTTCTGTCCCAGCCAAATTTATCATACAGAGGAAGACAACATTACTGAAAATTCCCAAGATGCTATTTTATAAGAATAAGAGTGTTAACCCTGGATTTCTTGCACGCTGAAAATGGCTAATTGCGCCCCCTCTCACACGTTTCCTCTGCTGGGGTCCCTGGACCACCTTTCCCTCTATGTTGAGCACCACTGTTAGGATGTGCTACCAAACCGTCTGGCTACTCAAGGAGTTTGGCTTGGAGCAGCTGAATCCCCCTTCCTCATTCCAGCACAACGCACCTGCCCCCAAGAGTTCAGAGCTCCTCTTTCCAGGGATAATCTTTGCTTGCCCAGACAGCACATTCACACGCTTGCTTGCATTCAAACAAAATAAATTTCACTTAACTCACTGCTTTGGGATCCATTTGGACGGAAGGCGGCTCCACACTTGCGATTATTCTTCATGTTGCAAAAGAAGAGTTTGCGGACGGAGCTGGTGGGCCTCTGCTTTTTGGCCTTGGTATGGCAGCATTCCACCCCCTCCCCGGAAAGATTTGATATCTGTAAAGTCAGGGTTGGTTCTTGTTTTCAGAGTGGAATTTGTCACGCCGTATTTCTCCCCTGCTCATCTCACGAGTGGGCATTGAATCAGGATGCCTAACAACCCGGGATAATTTTGGCCGACGGGGTGCAAGTCAAAGACCTGGCGATCTTGCACGCAGCCGGAAATGGCCCATTACGCCTTTGTTAATGACCCCATCGCAGAACCCAAGTTTCAAGCCCCCCATTTCATTGTACTTTCATTTCTAACAGAAACGTGAAGACCCACCTGTAGAAGCGTGGTCTACAAACAGGAGGCTGGGTGTGGCTGATGGGATTGCCGTCTCTCGCTGCACCGGGACTTAGGAGCCGGCAAACCGAAGAGGGACTGAAGGGCTGAGTTGGGCCTGGGCGTGTGAAGCAAGTCCAGCGTGTCCCAGCCAGCCATGCCACGGACCCCCTGAGGCAGGGGTGTTCCAAAGTTCCCCGGCCCGGGCACCCTCTGGATGTACTGGACTGCATCTCCCATTATCCACAGCCATTGCAGAGGGAATAATTGTAGCGCAGCACAGCTGGAGGGCCCCAGCTTGAGGACGGCTGTTCTAAGGACAGGCAACAGATGGACCCTCTTCATAAATACACATTTATTTCTTTAGAAATGCATAATTACATTGTTGGATAGTAGTTTTCCCCCTTTAGAAAAGTAGTTAAGCAACAATACCAACAAAAAGGCAAGGGGAGAGAGAGAGAGAGAGAGAGAGAGAGAGAGTGTTTCTGTCTTCTTTCTTGCTGTTTTCTTTTTAATTTTTCCTTTTTTTTTTTTTTTTGTAAAAACTGTATGATTAAACTGAAAACAGAAAATCCAGCAGCCAAAAAAGCTAATGTTTATGATAATGGGCCCCTTTCCTTTGTCTGCACCCCCATTTTCTTTCTTAAATACATCTTTTACTTTTTCGTTATAAACATAGCAAATTAAAAAAAATCTTCTTTCCGAAGCAAAATATATTTGTACTCTTGATTCCTTCCGTGTGGTATGTACTGCAAAAGAGCCATGAGTCTGGTAAGTTATCTACAGGCATTTACAAGGACGAGTCACAAAGGAGATGAGATGACGGAACATTTGGAATCTTTCGATTAATTAAGATTAGTCGCTTTTGCCTCCTGCAACGTTAGGTGTTGTCGGGTTATTTTCTTCTCTCTTCCGGGAGCGCAGAATATTGCACGGGAGCTCTGTGCGGAATTGCAGGAGCGCCTCCGTCTGTTCTCCGGCCCAAAGGGCCTGATCCACGGAGCAAGGACACACACATGCACAGGTGGTGCTGGCACAACGTCCTCTCGGCCCAAAGCTACGAGCGGGCTCTCCGGCCGGACCCTCCGGCCGCCCGCTCCCGCCATCCGTGCCGCCACCCCTGCGGCGGAGTCCGTCTCACTGAATCTGAATGGTGCTGTGATCGATCTGCATTTCTGGCTGGATGGTGGACTGGAGAGAGTCTGCGCTCTGCACGGGAGAAAAGAGCACGGCTTACCGCCCGCTGGGCACTGCCTTCCTCACGCACAGCCCTTCGCCCCAGCCTGCAGCTGAGCCCCCCCATCCTCTCCCCACCGAAGCGTAAGGAGCGAGGGCAACCAAGGTGTGCTTCTCTTGGCAGCAAGAGAACAGCAGCTTGGCGACAGCTTGGCAGGTGGCCCAGTCTGCCTGCCAGGTTGTGTCAAGACGCAGGCCCCAGTCCGTCCAGAAGGCATGTGGGTCCCCCCACTCTGGCCAGAATCTGAGGGCTTCTGCTGCGGCGTTCCTGGGAGGTTAATCTGGGACTGCATGTCCACAAAGACACGGCCGACACTTAAGCGGCACCAGCTCTGCCGTGCTCCGCAAGGGCGAGCTGGGAAGATGCTGTCCGGGGCGCTCGACGGGAAGGGGCATCAGGAGACGGTCGGCATCGCTTCCCCCTGCAACTCCTTCTCCCGCGAAACCCACCCTACACTGTGGCGGTTCAGGCTTTGGGGAGGCCGTCCGTGGCCCAGGTTTAAGCTGGGAACAGCCTGGTTCTAGCCAAGGCACCGTCGTGATTCCGTTTTCAAAAATAAATATCCCGGTCAGCCTGTTTCTTTTCGGTCCCTGGGAAGGAAACCAGAACGCCCAGCTCCAGAGGAAGTGGTGGCAGGGAATAAAGAAAGGCAGCCCAGCTAGCAGCTTTCCTCCCTCACGTTTTCTTGCGTGCTGAATGACGGCTTATTTATAAGGAGAGACGGTGCAGTTCAAAATGGCAATACTTTGTTCTCAAATTAAGGTCAGACACTTTGAAATGATTTACCACCTCCTATTTCCGTTTGTTCTCCTGCCAGGAATAACATGCAGCTCCAGACCCCCTCCCACTCCCCCGCCCCCCACTGCACAGGTCACTGGGGCTGTTCGCTGCCCCCCACCCTCGGTGCGCGAGCTACCAGCAAGAGCGTTCACAAGCTCAGGTTGTCTGCTGCTGAAGTGGCAGCCCCAACAGCTGGAAGGACGAACGTGCTGAGCAGAATGGCTCTGGCACAGGCCTGGGTTAATTATCCGGCAGGCGGCCAGATGTGGAAGGCTTTCGGAGGGCTGGCTTTTCAGCGGAAGCCATTTCCCCTCGCACCGATTTCGGCAGTGGGAAGGAAAAACAAATCCTGTGTGGTATTCCGATGTTATTACTGTAATTTAACATGTCAGGAACCATTAGAACGTCTCCAAGGAAAGAATGCAATCAGCGCACGAAGATAAACAAGGGCCGTTCGTCCGGGCCGGGCTGCGAGCTGGCATCTGTTCACACCCAGCGCAGTCCTGTTTTGTACCAGGCCGCAGGAATGTTTCCCACTAGCCACCTGAGCAACAGTGAAGCCCTGGCTGGCTGGCTGGCTGGCTGGCTGGCTGGCTGCTGGCTAGTGCGGTCGGGGCCTTGTGCAGGATCCAGCATGCATGAAAGAGCACCTGGAGAAACCCAAGCTTTGGAACATTATGGGATCTGGCCAGCATCAGAGAGTGAGAGGAGAGCTGCCAGCCAGCGAGCCTCGGTCAGGGGAAAACACACGTCCCTCTGCGTGGGCAAGAGACTCTGGGGGGCAAGGAGCTCTGTGTGGGGCAGCTGCAGCTGACACGGCTCCAGCAAAGGCACATTGCAGGCGGTGGCTGGAAGAGTGAGCAGGAAAAATGCTAAGCCTTCGGAAGGGAAGGCACAAACCCGCACACGTTCCCCACGACGGCTCCAGCCCTGCGCCGCCCCTTCGACACGCTCCCTTCCTTCTGTCCCCAGGTCCGATTTGCCTTGCCTCTGCCAGCGGGCTCAGCCAACAGGCCCTGGCCAGCCGCACCTGCCTTCCCACCCAGCCACGGCCTCCGCCGCCGCCGCCGCCGCCTTTGACTTCCCCTTCAATGTATCTGCAGCATGGTATAAATCTCTGTGGTTAACCACAATATGAAAAGCTAACACGGCGCAAAGTGTCTGAAAGAGAGCAATTCCGCCGCCCCTGCTGCCAGCCGTGTGGGAGATGGATGGAAGACCGATTGCCAGGTGCAAAACGGCCAACTTGCTCTCGACTCAGTGCGGGGGGGCACCCCCTCCACCCTGCTTGCCTCGAGGGGAGAGGAGGTTGCTCGAAGGGGGGGACCCGATTCTACAATGTACGAAAACCGGGTGTCCGTCGCTTCGGACGCCTTTCCGGGTGAATTCTGCATGGAGTTGCTAATCCCAAAGGAAGCCCCGGAATCACCGCTTTACACAGGGAGACTCCCCACGCTCGCAGAGCTTAAGGCGAGCGGCGAGCAGAGGGGGCCTGTTCGGACTTAAATAATGGAACACGCGGCGCCGAGGAACGGTTGCAGCCAGGTTGGAAAAAGTGACTCAGAGGGGCTGTGGGTGGAAAAGCCGGCCCTCTGGAACCTAGGAAGGGGAGCGCTGCAAGCAGGAATGCTGCCTTGTCGGCAGCATCCCTGCCGGGCAGGATGGAAGAAAGCCGGGGAAGGAAGAGTCGCTGCCCCGCCTCTCCCGCAGCCGCCACAGTGGCAGTGCGGCTGCAGAATGTCATTCAGACCCTGTCCTTTAGGGCCAGAGCTACCTCGGGGCCGGGCCGGGGCCGTATCCTGCTACTTCTGAGGCCAAGGCTGCTCCACGCACCCCACTGGCTTGGCCAGGGAAGCAGGAAAGTTCTTGGGCCCAGGCGCTGCCAAGCTGGGGAGTGACTCACCCCTGGCTCTGTCCCCTGGCACTGCTCGCCCTTGGGGGACGGTCAGCTCCCGGGCCTGCCAGGACGGCCTCCTGCTCCTGGGGACAGAAGCGGCAAGCAGGGGCCTCCTCAGCTGGCTGGCACGTCGCTTCCAAGGACACGTCCCAGAGCCCAAGCCAAGGCCATGGACACGGATTCCTCCGGAGCAGGGCCAGCTGCCCTGCCTGCCTGCCTGCCTGCCTGCCTGCCTGCCTGCCTGCCTGCCTGCCTGCAGAGGGGTCAGGGCTGCCCCGGCACCTGAGAGCTCCTCCCAACCCACCTGGGCGGCCAGGGCCAACAGGCAGGCTGCCCTGGGAGGAGGGCCACCACGCCCGGCCACCGGACGCCGCCCTGCACCAACGGGCACCGCCTTCGGTGGCTCTGGAGCTGCACAGAACCTTGCTAAAAGAAACACCGTCCGGACTTAGGAGAGCCTTCTCCAACCTGGGGCCCTCCAGGTGCTCCAGGCATCAGTGCTCATCTGCTCCAGCCAGGAACTCTCAGCGCTGAAGACCCAAAGCTGTGGAGGGCATCCAGGGTGGGGAGGCTGCCCCTGACAGCAGTGTTATAGCAGAAGCAGCAAAAACACATGTAACGAGCAGGGCCTTGGTACCCGATGAGAGCCAGTGACCCCCTCCAGCCATGGCCGGCGGGAATGTTTAGGCATGTCTGTTCCCTGCACTTCCCAGAATGAGTGACTGGGTGGAGGGGACAGAGGGAGAGGAGAAATCTCTGTATTTTGTATTTATGATGTTCGTATCCTGCCTTTCCTGAATACACAGTCTTTCCCCTCCCTCTTTTATCCTCACCACTGCCCTGTGGGGGTTAGGCTGACAGTCCGTGACTGGCCTGAAGTCACCCAGCAAACTTCACGGCTGCATGAGGACTGACTCGTGGGTCTCCCCAGTGCTCTAACCACTAGGCCGCATAGGAGTCCCCATGGAGCCTCTCTGAGCACAGAACCCAGTTTCCTGAGACGATCATCTTGCGTTGAAAAGGCAAAGCTCACGTGGCTTGTCCTTTCGATGGCAAGAAGCTCAAGAACGTTAAGGGCAGCCTCCAGCGACACCTTGGGAAGCAAAGGCAGACCGTGGGCAGCCCCTCGTGGCCGGGGAAAGCGGGGCAAGTGCCTGGCGTGAGCGAGCGAGCGAGCGAGCGCAAGCGCCACTGGGGGTGTGGGCTGCTCTTCACAGCTCCTGCCAGAGCAAAATGTGGGGCTCAGTCCCTGCGTGAAATCATTCCACGTGTGGGAGTGGAGAGAAAACGGGCAGGAGGGGCCGTGGGGGGGGCAGCTGCCCCGACAGCTCCCCTGCAGCATCCCTGCCCTTGGACGCAGGACGGATACGCACTGGATTCGTGGCGGCGTGGTCGGTCACGGGGGCCAGCTGGACGTACTGGACTTGGATGTCGCTGCCTTGGAGGGGCGACCCGTCGACGCCGCCCGCTGCCGGGTCCGAGGAGGCGACGGCGATCAGCTGGGCACCTTGCAGCACCTGTGGGCAAAGCGACAGAGACAGAATCCCGTGAGCAGGTGGAGGTGCGGAGGCGTGGAAACTCCTGCAGCATCGCAGACAGATGCGTGCGCGTTTGCCCACTGTGCTATGGATCGTGAGTTCCCAGAAGGCGGGGATGGGACATGGTGCTCTTGTGTGGCAGACTATTAACTTTGGATGAGAAATACATTGTTCCCAGCTGCGTGGCCCGCTCTGGGTCCAAGACTCATCAATGTGGGTTGTTAAAATAGTCATTTTTATTGCCATCAGCTCTGCGGGGGGGATCCTTGTCACGACGGACTCAAAACTGTGCCTTCTAGTTTTGATTGGGGCAACCCGGGCAAATTCCAGGGGGCAGCTGTGTTAGTCTCTAGCGGGGTCTTGCGGCACCTTAAAGACCAACACATTTACTATGGCATAAGCTTTCGTCACAAGCAGGAAAGTGGCAATACAGAGAAACAATATGGAACCAATTTTCCCCGACTCCAGCTCTTTTTAATAAGCACACCATGTTTCCCAGCAGCGAGAGACGAATTCCACTGGCTTCTCATATGGATTAGGCCATTTATAGCAGGTTTAAATTAACCCCTCTTCTCATTAAGAGATCACCCCATGTGATACTTTTTCCAGGCAGGCAAGCATTCCAAGCCAGCCTCTCGTTTTCAGGGCCAAACACAACATGGCAACCTGCATTTTCGCACAAGATCTTAGCGGCCGCTTCGTGAAATGCTTCCACGGGAATCATTGGTGGCCACGTCTGGCCACACCAGGGCATGTCCTCGGAACATCAGGACAGCTCGTGTGGACAACCGTGGAGTCGTGTGAAAAGGCCTTGAGGAATTGACACACTGGAAAACTTGTTCCTCTTCAGTCATTCCCCTAGTCTGAAGAAAGTTTAGTGCTGAAAGTGCTGATCGTTATAGGAAAAATAAGCCAGCGATTTGATGAAATGTTCCGATTTTTTCCCTTCTTACCTTTAAAGAAGCCAGAATCATAATCTATAACAATTCATAAACGTATGGAATTTGGTTTTATATATGTCAGCATAAAATGTTTCTAAAATAGTATTTCCTTTCTCCTCGTTTCTATCACAACATGTCAATGAATTTTGGAAAAAGAAAACCTCTCACGTAAAATGTTTTGTTTCCAAAGTCTAAAATCCTCATCCAAACTCTGAAATAAGTGATCATTTGAAGACACCTGGGCAAACAGGCATTACATCTAAGTACTAGTGTTTTCAGAAAATAACTCCACATTTTTTTCACTGACTGCACCTCTGTGGGTGAATGCTGATTCTATTAGCTCAACTTTTATTTAAATTCCAAAGGTTTGGCTGATTATTAAATAAGAAAACAGGGCATTTGATTGCCATTTGTGATTTTTTAAAACACAAAAATAACATCAATGTACAAAATTCTGTGGTGAAGAAGAAGGACCCCCCCGGTGCAACACTCAGCACCGAGAACTTCCATTCCTAGGCTGATCCTTGGGAGAAAGGAATCAAACTGTTGCCTTAAAATTATTTTGTAAGCTACCCTTTGGGCCCTTGTTAGTTTAAATGTTAAACTAAAATTCATTTTTTTCTAACTGAATCATTGAAGGAACAAAGACGGGAGGGCTCTGTGATCTTGACTGCTTGGCAAATACTGGCATCTGTGTGTTACTTCAACCTGACATGTGTATTATTTTAAAGTCGGGCCATTCTTTCATGGCTGAGACATTCACTATGGAGCCCACGGATTACTTTCATGCTTCCTCAAAACATAGGTTGCACAAAGTTCCCAGGAGAAAGATTTGTGTCTAACCAACTGAAGCCGTTGCTCACACTGCAGATACAAGATTCCTTTGCATCCGCTGGGCAAGCAGAGATGGTACAGAAGAGGGAGCCTCTTCGCGAAAACATCCGACTGCAGCGCACATCTGCGAGCGGAATATGGCGCAAGTTCAGAGTGTGCACATTATAATCTAATTTACTTTATAGCTGCTATTTAAAGCCGCTGTCCTGCCTGAAGAATTCTTACTGAACCAGATAAGAACGCTGGTAGAAAACACACTTCCTCTCCCCACGACTCATCCTTTTATTTTAGAAGAACTTGGAAAGGAAGCCAATATAGCATAGCAGTGTATTATTCTTACACTGGCCGAGGCAAACTAGGCTTGGCCGCAGCTCGGTGCATTTGATTCCCCTCCAGTTGGGCTTCGCTTCCCTTTTCGTTATCAGGTGGCAGAGAACGTGCAGGACAGCCCCAGCGCCCTGAACAACCATCTTTGGCAGGCAACGCGAGAAACCACTGCGCTCCGCAAAGGAACCCAGCCTTTCCCCTCCATTTCGTCCCTCATCCCTCCATTTCATTTTGGAGGTGTGTTTTTACAAGCATCGCAATATTGTCACAGCTGTGCTGAATCCTAAGCCCTTTAAAAGCTTCCTTTGAAAGATGCTGGCTGGCTATCTGCGGAGAACAATTCTTGCCTCACACAGCACATCACGTATTTTTGCAACTGTGGGGACGCGCTGGGGGAAGCTGCTGCAAAGTTCTCCAGGCGATTGTTCTAAAATCAGAACTAAAGTGACCTGGTGGCCAAAGCTGCTATGAAGTTCACAGCGGTGAGCAGCATTCTGGCCTTTCTGCATGGGAAGGCAAAGGACCTCCGCTGAAATGCATGTGCCTGTTTTGTCGTCCCTCGTATGCTTTTCAGCATGTCCAGAGCACAAAGGGCAATTCAAGGTCTGCATCCCAGCCTTCCTCAAGCTGGTGCAGGGCGGGCTGAGCGGGTCCCAAGAAGGCCCCGAGGTGGAGTGAGCGGGCTCACGGACGCCTCCCCATGCCAGCCCTGAGCTTGTGAGAGCCCTCCGCCAGAACACGCTCAGTGGGCCTCCTCCCTGGGGGAGTCTGCCTTCCACCACCACGGCCTTGAATGGCCGTCCCTCCCCCTCCCCCTCCCCCTCCCCACGGCTACTGCTGGCCTGCTTGCCAGCCAGTGGCCACTGGGCGAGGAGCCCAGGGCATCCGCTGCTCCCTCGCAGTGCTGCCAGCATCTGGACCACCGCAAGAGAGAAGTGAGGAAGCTGCAAAGGAGGAGGAGAGGCGCTTTTCCAAAGGGCTTGTGCCAGCTGGCCCTGCAAGGGGGGGGGGGGGCCCTGGGAGATGCCCGTCATGCCTGTCCATGATGTTCTCTAGAGATTAGCTGCCTCGGTGGGAAGAATGGTGCAGCCTGCGCATGCAGGATGCCGGGGGGGACGGGAACACTGCGTGCGACAGAGAGCCGAGTGTGAACTCCCTGTACCTGAGGCTGGGAGCTGCTGAGCTTTGCCTATTAAAAATAAAATAAATGAAAATGCTTTCTTGGTCAGAAGCTTCCAAAAACATTCAAAGTACACAGGAAAAGGTAACAGATAAATACTGACAACCGGGCATAGTTCTACCGAGGCTGCAAATGCAAGGAAGCCTTTGTTCTCACACAGCAAAGAGCCAGGAGAGCTACGTGAGAAGTTTGGCAAGAGGTTCGGGAGCAAGAATACGGCCTTTGTCTGGCCTTTCACGGGATCTCTGGACCACCAGTCCAGTTCTGTGTTCCTTCTGTGCTCTACTGACCCTGAGAAAATAAGAAGCATGCTTCTCTGAAGAGCCCGAAGCAAACAGCTTGCCCCGCGGCTGGGCTTCCCTTTGCAGTGCTGGAGGGCTTCTCGGGCACCCTGTCACGCAGACACCGCACAGGCAATGGGTGGTCAATAAACCAAAGAAGACACAGGTGAGCAGGAGGCAGGCGGACACCCACAGGGACGCTTTGCCTGAAGAACCAAACTGAGGCAGATCCTGCTCCGCACTGTTGACACAGTCTGGGAGCAGTGGCCTTCCAGGAGGGTCTCTTGCAGGAGGCGCTGGCTTGCAGAATAAATAGAGGCCAAAACCCCGGGGGGGGAGGGCTCCCCGCAAAAACGACCCCACGAGGACCGAGCAGGCTTGGTGCAGGTGTCCTGCAGAAGGACTGCTGGGTGGGGCAGGAGCAGAGGATGGCGGGTGGAACAAAATGGAGTGTCGTGGGAGGGGTCTTTCTGCAGACCACACGTGTGCGTGTTCATAAATATTTCCTTTCTCTGAGTGACCACCGCTCTGCAGCCAAAACAGTACTCCTCCCGTACAGGAGGGAGGTACCTGTGAGCTCACAGTTGCTCCGAGGTTAGAAGAACGATCTGTTTTCAGAATGTGCATGTTCTCCATCGAAAGCTGGCTGCTGGGGGTGGCGGGGGGAGCAAACCGGAGGGAGCGTGTGTGTGTGGGCGGGGGGGGGGGGGATGGAATGGAATGCCCCAGACAGGATCCCTCTGTTCCACTTGTACCACATTTTAACAGCACAGTACCTTGCAGGAAAGGCGCATAGAGTTAGAAAGTGCAGCAAGTGTTCAACCCTACACACGTTTAAACAGGAGAATCTCCTACAGCGAATGGTCTTCCCAGTCAGCATTTTTCTGTCTCGACTCACATCAGATCGCACCTTGCAAGAGTAACTGCAAGGCTAGAAGGAAGGACTGGCGATAACCCCAATCCACAAACCACGATTAGCCCTCTCAAAATTCAACACCACGGTCCGTGCATCTCTGCGAGCCTCACGGGCGGCTGGCGTCACCCCATGTGTGGCACGGTGGCCCCGACCTGCAACATGTACGGCAAAGCCCATGACCCCCGGCTTTTCCCCTCTCTCCCTAGAATGACACTTCGCTTGAGATGGCGACACTGCCGAGCGGAGTAAAAGCAACCATTAGGAGCAATGGTGCGAGCCGAACCAGGCGTCCCTTTGCCCCATTCCAGTTCATTCTGTCGAAAAAGAGGCCCCACCTGCAACTAATAGCTCTCAATTAGCATTAACTGTCAGACCAGGAAAAAAGCATTAACAGGTCATAAATGCTCCTTCTCTCCACCCCTCAGTTTTTTCTCCAAAGGCACCATTTACAGACTCTTCAGTGATGTTTATTGCTCAAAATTACTCTCCAGGGAGTCCCC